TTGGGGAGATGTTAGAAAGAAGTTCTATATAAACAATCACTCACATAATTCGGCACTTGCGAGAATTGGAATGAGTAACTATAGACCTCTGTTGGCTAGTCGACGTAGTGATATTCTTCGTAATATTCTTAATATTTAAATATGTAATTAAAGCGCATTTTTCAGGCCGCGCGAGTTAAACTAACTATAATTTTTGTACCGACCGTAAATTGTCTACAAACAATGAAGGAATTAAACGCCTATAACGGTCAAAGCTGGATCAAAGTGCTAATAATAAGTATGAGTGAATTCTTATATACCACATATGTAGCCCCCCCTTCACTCATACTTATTATTAGCACTTTGATCCAGCTTTGACCGTTATAGGCGTTTAATTCCTTCATTGTTTGTAGACAATTTACGGTCGGTACAAAAATTATAGTTAGTTTAATTATTGAGACTGTAAATCTGAGATTTTAATTACTTGTATCTTTTAGTCCAATTCCAGAAGTTTTATTGACCAAATCTTCTAGCAAAGTAATTAAAAAGCATAAAGCTACACGATCAAAAACTTTATATGACTTGCGAAAAAAACATTCAGATTGCGAAGAAAAAAGAGTAGAAGCTATCAATAAACTAAGAGAAGCAATTGAAACGAATAACAATATTCAAAAAGAAAGGAATGTTATTTTACAACAATTAGTGACTTCGCAGATAAGTAATAGGCAAGACTCATTACAAAAGGATACAGATAGATAATAAGTTGATATATACTGTATAACAGTGCTTGAAATTAGTTGCACATTTCGGGCCGATTTCTGAGGCGACGCCTACTGTCTCCCCACTACTACTCGAGCCTCGGCGGCCGAGCCGCCGACCGCTCACGTGACGCTGTGCCTCAGGAGCGTCGCGATACTTTCCAGTATGCTGGGAGTATGTACATCTTCCAACAAATATCTTTAAAATATATTTTTTCTACGTGATTTTTATTTAAACAAACTTTTTTATTATTAGCATATTATGTATATATATTCTATAATGATATAATTTTGACAATTATTACAGTATGATAATTACAATATTGAACAACAGTTTTCCACATCACCTCTGAGGTACTATTGTTGACGCGTTTTTTTAAAGTGGTTTCCCCAGTAGGCCCATTCCACTAAAAAAAAATAACGAAAAAGCTGATTAAGTATATAGCTCGAGGAAAGCAATATTCTTTAATGTTAAATATTTATAAAAAAACGAACGAGGATGAAACTGAAATAATTAATTTACTTGTAATTTTAAATTTGACCTTCTGGGTCATTTGCACGATTGTATTAGTGATAATACATCCACAGAGATTTCAGAAGTAGTATTTTGCATCATCGGGGATAACGATGCATCATTTTCAAAACGGAAAAACGTTCATGTTTAAAAGATGCATCGTTATCCTCGATGATGCGAACTACTACGTCTAAAATCTTTGTGGATGTATCATTACTAGTACAATCGTGCAAACGACTCAGAAGGTCAAATTTAAGATTTCAAGAAAATTAATTATTCCCGTTTCATCCTCGTTCGTTTTTTAAATAAATATTTAACATTAAAGAATATTGCTTTCCTCGAGCTATATAATTAATCAGTTTTTCGTTATTTTTTTTAGTGGAATAGGCCTACTGGGGGGGAAACCATTTAAAAAAAACGCGTCAATAGTACTTCAGAGGTGATGTGGAAAACTGTTGATCAATATTGTAATTATCATACTGTAATAATTGTCAAAATTATATTATTATAGAATATATACATAATATGCTAATAATAAAAAAATTTGT